CCAACCAACCCCAGCCTCACTACCCCCACACCACCCTCAGCATCACCATCCCCCACACCACCCTCTGCACCACCACCTCCAGCCTCACTACCCCCCACACCACCCTCAGCATCACCACCCTCAGTATCACCACCCCCAACCACCCTCAGCTTCCCCCCACCACCCTCAGCATCACCAGCCCCCACCACCCTCAGCCTAGGGCAGCACAAAACCAGGATACACCACTGCCACCACCCTCAGCATCACCCCCCCCACCATCACCCCCCTCCTTCTCACATCACCCCTCCTCACATTACCCCTCCTCCTTCTCACATTACCCCTCCTCCTTTTCACATTACCCGCCCTCCTCCTTCTCACGTTACCCCCCCTCACTCTCACACCACCACCTCCCTGTCACCATCAACTCCCTTTCACCATCACCCACCTCTCTCCATCACCCGCCTCTCCTTCTCACCATCACCCCCCCATACACACAACACACTTCAAGCAGCTACCCCATACACATAGGGTCTCAGACAAAAACGCAAACATGCTCGCAGAGACATGCATTCACACACAAGGATACTCTCTGTCAGACACACTCTCAGGCACATACACAGGTAAACTGTGCATCAATGTGTATATGTGACACTTTTTTGTTAGTGGGGCCTCATGTTTGAGTTTCGCCTAAGGCCTCATAAAGTCTAGAGCCGCCTCTGGGTGTCATAATAGCTTGCATTTAAAAAAAACAAAAAACTTTTTTGACTGTAATATAATAGCAGTCAGTTTCTTTCACGAGTGTGCGTTTCAGAGCCTGCCCTGAGGGTGGTGAGGCTGGTGGGGGGGGGGGGGGGGGGGGGGGGGGGGGGGGGGGGGGGGGGGGGGGGGGGGGGGGGGGGGGGGGGGGGGGGGGGGGGGGGGGGGTGGGGGGGGGAGGCTGAGGGTGGTGAGGGAGCCTACCTTCTCTTCCCTGGTGGTCCAGTGGCCACTTCTTCCGGTCTGCAGCTCCGCAGAGCTGCAGACCGTGTAATATCGCGAGACCATCAGAGCGTTGCCGTGGTAACCCACTCTGATTGGCCAATTCTCGCGAGACACATGGTCTGCAGCTCTGCTCACTGCGGAGCTGCAGACCTGTGTCTGCGATGGTGGCCGGGCAGCCAGGAGGGGCCTCGCGCCCGGCGGCATACCGGGCAAGCCGCCGGGCCCCCTCCTGGTGTCAGGTCCTCGGTCACTGACCGAGGACCTGACACAGTCTGCCATAAGGCGGTTTAGGCAGCCGCGGGGCCCCAGCCAGCGGGAAGCCTTAGGCGGCCGCCTAAACCGCCTAATTAGAGAGCCGCCTCTGTTTGCGGTTGTTTGCGGTGCGTTAAACGGGGTGTTTGGTCTGTCACTGTGAAGCGGGCGTAACCCTTACACTACCTGATCGATACAACATCATACCTGATGTTTTAAAGCACGTTATTCCAAACAATTTAGGAATGTTAGGTGATTTATGCCCTTTATGGATTAAAACCAGACTCTGCATCACCTATGTAATTTTCCATGGGAGTTTTGCCATGGATCCCCCTCCAGCATGCCACAGTCCAGGTGTTAGTGCCCTTGAAACAACTTTTCCATCACTATTGTGGCCAGAAAGAGTCTCTGTGGGTTTTAAAATTCGACTGCCTATTTAAGTCTATGGCGGTTCACCCGTTCGCGAACATTTGCGGAAGTTCGCGTTCGCCGTTCGCGAACCGAAAATTTTATGTTCGCGACATCACTATAAGAGAAGCATACTGCCTTTTGGATTTAGATTAGATGTCTTCTCCCAAGAAATAAGCAATTAATCCAATTAACCACTTTAGATGGACTACAGGTGTTACTGAACCTTTCCGGATGCCTCTCCCAGGAGAGCAGGAGATCTAATTTCCAAATTAGAGGCTGGTAATGTTTATTTATTACTGGTATTTATAAAGCGCCAACAGATTCCGCAGCGCTGTACAATTAGTGAAGAACGTACAATACACACAAACAAATACAAGAGGCAGAGAGAGCCCTGCCCGTAAGCTAATATATAGCCATTGGAGCTCTTTTCTACAAAGTGCTTAGCTAGATGGCCCGTGAGCTTACAATCTAAAGGTTCTAAAGAGTAAAAGTTTTTTGTGTGCACACCTATGTATTTACACATGAGAGAATTCTACAAAAGTATTTCCAGTTATAATCTCTCTGATCAAGATAATGAATATGTTTTAAGTTTGGTTTGCAGTGTTTAACCTTAATATATATTGCGGACTTCAGGAGCACAGCTTAGTAGATTTTGCTGACTTCAGGAGCTCAGTTTAGTAGATCTTCTGATTGCAGATGCACAGCTTAGGCTAGTTATTTCTCCCATGAGCCGGTAACTCTGAAGCAATTACCTGCTGTTTTCATTGGTATGTCAGGGTCCCTTCTGTGGTGACCAGGGTTGTTCCCCATGGTACTCACCTCTCACAGGATGTTGCAGTTCCCCTTCAGCTCTCCTCTTCCTACTCCTGCTGTTTTCACGTTGGCCTCGATAGCTCTGCCCCTTTTATGACGCGAAAAGGGGGCGTCAAAGTCATGACGCTAATGACGTCACGTGCCGCCAAAACATTTGAATTATGATGTTTTGGGTGCATGGCTACCATCCCAACAAGCCACAGTAAAAGAAAGCTTCTATGGGTTAGGTTCCTTGCCCTGTTGTGGTTCAGTATTCTGTATTCAGTATTTCAGCTTTTTGACCTTGGCTTTGTTTGTTACTATTTTGCTTTCTATACTCCTTGACCCGGCTTTGGCTTACTCGCTTGTCCTGATATCTGTACTCCTTGACCTCAGCTTGAATTTGACTACCCCTGGTGCTTATACATTAGTCTGGCCATTCTAATGTGTTATGTTTTGGGGTGTTTTCTGGACTTTGAGGAAAATGTGTGTTTTTCTGCCTGTGGATTATCAGGTTATTGTATTAGCTGCTTTAATTATATCCCAGACAGAGGGGAGGGCTTATGTGCTGTATGTGGGAGTGTTGGATATTGTTGTATTGTTTTGATTGGTTTATGTCCCTTGTGTGCCTGTGTACCATTAGGTCCAGATGGTGTGCCTCTGGCCTGAGGAATTGTATAAATTGTCTCAGC